AAATTCCACTAATAAGGACACTATTGGACTTATAAGTCCAAAAGCACATGCTCACACAACCAAAATCCCCGTGCTCAAGCTACAAACAAAACCCGACCTCAAGTCCTCCAGACTGGCCCATCATCAACACACCGAAATCACATCTCGCACCTCATCCATGGAATCATAAGCTGTCGATGCACAACTAATATCGAGCGATCACATGTGCATACGAGTGCATGGAAGGAATTCAAATAGTTACGCTTCAAGCTAAATTAATGTCGCACGATAAGGAAAGAAAGATGGGAAGTCTATCCTAAATTTCATGTAGCCTCTCGAAGATATGTATGGATGTCATCATACCAATCCGCAAGACTCTACTAGACACTTGCTCATGACTCGTAGAACCTATGAACCTAGAGCTCTTATACCAACTTGTCACAACCCAAAATCCAACTAGCCATGATGGCACCTAACCCAACCCGCTAGGTAAGCCAATTAACAATAAACTAATTCCAATGAAATTTGATGAGACAATAATGATGAAATAACTTAGCTTTTACAAAAAATCCCAAGGACTGGTAGTACAAGTCATGAGCTTCGAAGATTTATAGTTTATAAAGCTGGTATGAAATAAATACATCATCTGTCTGAAATATACATGAACAGATTAAAATTCTAAAGCTACCAAGATCAAGAGGCAGCTATGACCGGAACATAGGTACGTCTTCAATGCCAGCTCCCGCCATACACAGCAACATCAAATCAAAAATCTGCACGCAAGGAGCAGAAGTGTAGTATGAGTACAACCGACCCCATGTACTCGATAAGAAATAAACCTAACTTTAGGTTGAAAGTAGTAACGAGCTGGGACAAAGGTCGGTGTCCAACACCAATAGCCAACAACAGTTCATAACAATATAATAAAAGTGATAAAAAAAATAACTCAGAGATGTGATGTGATGCTCGTTAACAGTTATGGAAAAATAGTCATGCTTTTCAGGTGTAACAGTAAAAACCAAATCCTTCACCGAAATCACCAAAATATGAGTGAGTCAAAAAACTGTGATTTTTCCCAAAACCTTTCAACAATAAATAAGATGTTTCATTTTTAGATAGCATGAGGAAAGTACTTCTCTATGCCTATATATCAGTGTGCACGTGAAATCGTGAATGCACCAAAATTGCGTAGCATGAGGGAATGCATCTCTATGCATGTATGTCAAGAATGCATGTCAAATGCAATGCATCACAATGATGAACTCATGTACTCACACTCTCATAGTACTCAATCTCACTATCTCACACTTTTCACTCATCACGCTCAATCACTCGACACACTCAGTCACTCAGAACTGAATAGGGTAGATCTAACCCTCAACAATCTCAATCACTCAGTACTGTACAGGGCAGATCCAGCCCAAATGAATCAATAGCAAATGCGCTCACTATGGGTGTGCAAACTCTGGTGGGACAGATCCAGCCTAAGTGCTATAATACGCCAATCATGGCATGAATCAATAAAGCCTGCTGCGGCATGCAACCCGATCCCATCATGAATCAATTTTACCTGTTGCGGCGTGCAGCCCGATCCCATCAATATCACTCACAATCCGGCTCTCAGGCCTCAACTCAGTCATCAATCTCTCCAGTCTCTCGGGCTCACAATGTCATGAAAATCAGCCTAAAAATAATGATATGATATATTAATAAATGGCAACAGAGACTAAGATATGATATGCAAATGAATGAGTATGATGAGTATGTAATTGCAATTTAAGCAAATAACTCAACAACAGAAATGACCTCAGTGGGTGCCAACAGGATAAGCATATAGCCTAGACATGGTTTCTAACAAGGATCACAACTCAATTACTCTAACACGTAGAAATTTCATGAATAGAAACAAGATTAGGTCACTACACAGTACAACAAAATCAATCGAGTCATAATTCTCACGGTGCACGCCCACACGCCCGTCACCTAGCTGTGCGTCACCTCAACACCAAACACATATCACGTAGATTCAGGGGTTCATACCCTCAGCACCAAGTTTAGAAGTGTTACTTACCTCGAACAAGGCAAATCCAATACCGAGCAAGCCAAACGATGCTCCAATAATGCCATCCCATGCGCATCAACCTCCAAACGGCTTGAAACTAGCCAAAAGAAACTCAAATACGTCAAATAATGTCTAAGGAAATAATTCCAAATGATAAAGGTCGAATCTTTAATCAAAAGCCCAAAGTCAACCAAAAGGTAAAACTTGGGCTCGTACCTCGAAACCCGATGAAACTTACAAAATTCGACAACCCATTCGATTACGAGTCCAACCATACTAGTTTCACTCAAATCTGACTCCGAATCAATCTTCAAAACTGGGCATACGCCCGAGTCCAAAATCACCATCCGGACCTAACGGAACTATCAAAACTCCAATCCGAGGTCAAATACTAAAAAGTCAAACTTGGTCAACTCTTCCAACTTTAAAGCTCCAATCATGAAATCCATTCTTCCAAATCAATTCTGAATAACCTGAAAACCAAATCGATGATTCACACAAGTCATAATACATCATACGATGCTGCTCAAGATTTCAAATAGCTGAACGTAATGCAAATGTTCAAAACGGTCGGCTGGGTCGTTACATTACTGCACACATGAAGCGTAATAGGCCGATCGATTCCAAAGGTAACAATCCTGGAAAATGATAGGAGCAAATAATCAAAATGATCATAAGAAGGAAATGAGCTCTAGAAGAGCCTACTACATAACATTTTATGAAACTCCAGAAGAATTTCAGGCTTGAAAATAAAGAAAGTGATGAGATCTCATCAAGTTATGTCTCTTGCGAACCGATAAAAAATGAGCGTCGATGATATATTTGATACAATATAGTGCAAAATATTGTAAAAGATTGTGAGGATCAGACCTGTAGTCCAGACACCTGAAGACGTCATGCCATTTAAACACATGTCATAACCTATATGACTCATTTGATCAAATTTATATGAAGATCCCTGAAGGATTTAAAATGCTTAAAACATATAATTCAAAGTCTCGAGAAATGTACTCGATCAAATTACAAATTTTTTGTACGATTTAAAGCAATCTAGGCGCATGTGGTATAATCGCCTCAGTGAATATTTGATGAAAGAAGGTTACATAAATTATGTTATTTGTCCATGTATTTTTATAAAGAAAATATCATCAAAATTTGTTATACTTGCTATTTATGTTGATGACATAAATCTTGTTGGAACTCCAGAAGAGCTCCAAAAGGCAATTGAATATCTTAAGAACGAATTTTAGATGAAAGATCTTGGAATGACAAAACTTTGTCTTGGTCTGTAAATTGACATTTAGCAGACGAGATCTTTATCCATCAATCTACCTATATAGAAAGGATCTTAAAATGCTTTTACATGGACAAAGCTCACTCGTTGAGTACATCAATGGTTGTTTGATCACTTGAAGTGAATAAGGATCGGTTCCGACCTCCAAAAGAGGATGAGAAACTCCTTGGTCCTGAAATACCCTATCTCAGTGCAATTGGTGCACTTATGTATCTTGCTAATGCTACAAGGCCTGATATTGCATTTTATTTTAATTTACTAGCAAGATATAGCTCTTCTCCTACACGGAGATATTGGAACGAGATTAAGCATATATTGTGATATTTAAAGGGAACTCTTGATATGGGTTTGTTTTATGCTAATAAAGGTAGTGCATATCTTGTTGGTTATGCAGATGCAAGTTATTTATCTGATCCCCATAAAACTTGATCTCAAATCGGGTATGTGTTTACATGTGGAGGTACCGTCATATCATGGCGCTCTACAAAGTAATCTGTTGTTGCTACTTTTTTAAATCATGCTGAGATAACAGCTATTCATGATGCAAGTAGGGAATGCGTATGGTTGAGATCAGTGATTCATTTTATTCGAGAAAAATATGGTTTGGAATGTGATGAAAGACCCATAATATTTTACGAAGACAATGCTGCTTGCATAGCCCTATTAAATGGAGGATTCATAAAAGGAGATAGAACGAAACACGTTTCATCAAAATTATTCTTCACACATGATCTCCAGAAGAATGATAATATCGATGTGCAACAAATCCGTTCAAGTGACAATCCGGCAAATTTATTCACTAAATCTTTACCAACTTCAACTTTTGAGAAGATGGTATACAAGATTGGAATGCGGAGACTTAAATATTTGAAACAAGGTTTTCATCAGGGGGAGTAAAATACGTGATGTACTCTTTTTCCCTTACTAAGATTTTTCCCATAGAGTTTTTCTTGTAAGTTATTTTAATGAGGCAGCTAGCAATGCGTAGTACAGAATATGTGTACTCTTTTTCCTTCACTAGGATTTTTTCCACGGGATTTTTTCTAAAAAAGGTTTTAACGAGGCACTTAATAATGAACATCCAAGGGGGAGTGTTATGAAAATATTATATTGTGGATGTTTATTTAATACTCCATTGCAGATAATCTTTCTGAAGAAGATTATTCATTTAATACTCTATTAAAGTTTATCTACAAGCAGCTGATGCAGGCAGGTTGCAAGCAACTCAATGAAATGACTTGCAACAGCTTCTTATTAATCAGGCAGGTTGCGAGCAGCTCATGCAAACAGTTTACAAGCAGATCAAGAAAAGTCTCACAACTGCTTACTGAAAAGCTTCGCATCTGCTTCATTTCTTCTATAAATAGAGGAGATTTGAGTTCATTATGTACATCAGTTTGAAATTGAATAATATATCAATTTCTCTCTATATTTGTTTTTGATTTATTACTTTACCATCTTTATTTATAACAGGAATTTCTTATTTGTGAAATTTATAATGATTATATTGGGAAAGAAATAATATTAAACTAATGATGAAAAGTTTCACGTCATACATAAGTTAAAATCATGAAACCGAAAGAGTACTAAATGCTCATCAAACAGGAACGTAAAGATTCTTCAAGTCCGTCAGCAAATTAAAAGTGCCAAGTTCTACTTTGTCCGTTAACTAATCCTCACGCCATTTATCTTCTTCTTTTTTCTTTTTTGTTCACAATAATAATCCAAAACTGCCGTCTGCCACCAGCCTTCTCCCTTATTTATAAAAAAACTGTTTCACAACTCATGGGAACGAAACCCAAAAAAAGAAAAAGAAAACTGAAAAACTATTGGGAATAGAACAGTAGTGGTAGAGCCATGACTTTCCTTCCCGTCCACGCTATTGTGAATCTACGAATGCTATTTCTGTTGATCGGAGCATGTTGTATTCTGGTTGGAGTCAACGGTGGATGGGATGAGGAAGTAGGATTACTGAGAAGAGGACGCGGCGGCGCAGGAGGAGGATATCAGCGAGAGTTCGATTACTTCAAGCTATCTCTCCAATGGCCAGGCACGTATTGCCGAAGAACTCGCCGTTGTTGTTCTTCCAACGCCTGTTGCAGCCGGTACATCTCCTTTTTCTTATTCTTTTTTGTTTTTTTGTGGAAAATTTGGCTTGTAGTCCCTCAAATATGGACAATTTCTAATTTTGGTCTCTGTTTAGTTGATACGTGCACCTTTGATCCCTCTGCACTTGAATCTTCACAAATGTAACAAATTTGCTAAACCATCTGAATACTGATGCGAGGGTAATATAGTTCTAAAAATAGTCTAATATTACTTATTCATATACGAAAGGACCAAATACACATGTTTTAGTTAATTGAAGGTTAAATGTACTTATTCAATGCAATTACCCCTATATGATATGCTTCTTTATGTGCCTTTTTTTTTTTTTCCTCTTTTTTTTTTGGTTAGGATTAAATTAAAATATGGTCCAAATGGTGCTAAATGGATATTGAAGATTCATATGACAGACTTCAATTAGTTTGTGATTGAGGCTTAGTTGTTGTGGTTGTCGTTAGATTAAAGTTTATGGGCCTCCATGACTTTGGTCTAATGGCTACTGAACCAAATCTAGTACTACTACTATCTTTTAAGTGGAGAAGCACAAAGTGGATCAATTATTTTTTGAGTATTATAGCAAGAAAAAGAATAAGAAATTTAGATATATTTGTTTGCGACAATTTCATTATATAACATGCGTTATGGGAGCTTACTTGTGATTTTTGTATTTTTGCAGCTCGAACTCGCCACCTGTATTCACAATTCGTAAGTCCTACTCCATTTCAGAAGGGTGTGTAATTAATTTTGTATGTGATGAAAAGTGAAAGATAGAATTGAATAAGGTTTCTTGTGCTATAGATGGACTTTGGACAGAGTACAATGATGGAACTTGGCCTGCCTGCTGTTCCGGTAAAGCATTTGATGAGAGAGAGGTATGTTTGCTTATTGTGTTTTCTTGCCTTTTTTCTATGAGAGAGCAGCCTGGAATGTGATAATTGATTGGTGGAACTACTTGCATTGCTTGTGAACAGTTTATAACTGGAATGCCAATGTCTTCTGATGACACGACTAAATCCACAAGAGTTCATGGAGATTTTTTTTTCTTTTTACTGTGAATACAGTGGTGTCCGGGTAGAAATCGCCTAGCTTTTTTTTGGCCTCTACTGGGATTCAAAACTTTGTTCCCCGTGATCCTCATTCTAGTTATCACTAGGCCACATCCTTGGGTGCAGCTTTTTACAAAGATCAAGCACTCAAGAATGGATTCCCAAATCTTCACCTTCATATTGAGCAGTTCTTTTGTGTGAACACTTACACGTTTGTCTATTTGCTATCTTAACTTTTAATCATGAAGTTTGCATTATAAGACCTTTTGGCTGCTTAATTTTTCAGATCTAAATTCTGTTATATAATTTGCACATATTTGTAACGTAGACTATGGCTGTGAGATTGCGTCAAGGTGCCAATTATTTATGCAAATACAGATAGAGAGTTAAGCCATCAAACATCTTTTGCTGTAAATTGGATTCAAGCGATTTTATTTCATATTAGTGCTGCAAGCTTCTGCGAACTTTGTTGGTTAGCTAGGATATTTGCAAACTCCACTATGAGGTCATTGAGAAGCTTAGTTAATCTCAGTGGTGCTTCCCTTTTTTCCATTTCATACATATGCTTACTCCTCATCACCGAGGTCAAATTTTTTTTTTTGAGCCAAAGTACTATTTGTCATCTCAGATTTCAACACTGCTCGAGCCCTTGAGGAAGTATTGGCCTTCTTTAAGTTGTGGTTCCCCCAGATCTTGCCATCACAGAAAAGGATCATTCTGGGCACATGAGGTGGTTTCACTGTTGTCTTTACTCATTGATTGTTTGATTTCGATACAATTTAAGGAACTGACACATCCTCCTTGCATTTCCTCTATGCTGACTCTGGAGATACTCAATCACAGTGGGGTAATTACCTTGCCTTATTCTATTTTTTATGTTAAATTAATCTTGCAAGCTTCCTATTTCTTAGAACTTAATTGAGAAGCAAGGTTTATATGTACATCAAGGAGCCAGTGATGTAAAAACTTAGAAAGTAATTTGACTGTTGACATGTCTTAATAAATTAAGTGTAGCTTCCTTCTTCTTCTTGGATGCTGATAAGTGATTAGGCATGTACTTCCTCTTGTACAGTAAATTTATTTATTTATTATTCTTCTAAAACTGAGGTAGAAGGTTTTATTTCCTTCTGCTTTTGTCATGGAATCAATGAGATGTCTTCACTCTTGTGTGCGCTTAAGCCTGTGCACATCATCAATATTCTGTAATCTCCCTTTGGTATGACGATGTTGTGCCAACAAAGGGCTAAAAGACACATTTTTGTTCTTGGGGAGAATTAATCCCTCTAAGTTACACTGAGAATCCCGCCCCTACTCCCAGTGGTTGTTATATTGCTTTGCAGTGCGATGTGTAAAAGAACTCATGTTCGTTCTTTTAACAAATACCTCATAGTATTATGATGGGGTGTACATCTTCTGGTTATCAAACAAAACACCTGGTTTTCAATAGGGAGTTATATGGAGACAGGGCCTTTTTTCACTACAAAATCCAACCTGATTATAGTACAGAAGGTCTGGTATACTTGTATGCAACAACAACAACAACAACAACAATAACATACCCAGTGTAATCCCACAAGTAGGGTCTGGGAGGGTAGTGTGTACGGACCTTACCCCTACTTGTATGCGCTTTAAATATTTTATCGGGACAAAAGCCAGATAGGATATTCTTTAAGTATCATTTGTGACTATATTTTCATGTTTATTGATTGCAGAAAAACATGGGACATGTGCTTATCCAGTTGTCCATGATGAATATGAGTTCTTTTTGACTACGTTGAATGTTTACTTCAAGTATAATGTTACAGTAAGTGACTTTTCATGCTATACCTTGGAAGAGTAAAATACCTTTTTTTCTTAGAAATTTTATGTCCTTTTCTTGTTGTTGCTTGTACAGTTTTGTAGTTTTTGTTTTTATCTTTTTGTGCTTGGGTATTTTCATTCTATGAAATTTTTTGATGACCTCAAATACTGAAGAAGTTGTTGCATCTTGAATATTATGATTATATCTCAAAACTTTCTCCTGGGTTNCATGTGAAAATGGTTCTCTTGTTGATACAGTTTCATTTTGTTTTCAGTTGAATATTAACAAGTTTTTCTTCAATGTCAGTCGACTAACCATATAGTGGTTATGCACAACAATTGGATATGAATAGTAATTACTCCTGGTACTTGACTAACATTAATGCATTCAAACACAACGCCAGGAAGTTCTGCTTGAAGCTGGATATGTACCATCAGATTCCGATAAGTATCCATTAGGAGGCATCATTTCATCAATTGAAAATGCTTTCCATGCAACCCCAGAGTTAACATGCTCAGGCGATGCCCTGGAGGAACTTCGTATATGCTTCTATAAGAATTTTGAGGTTCGTCGTCTCTCTAATTCTCTAACAGATACTGGAATGGATGCTTTATGACTCACATTTACTGTAATGTAATGATGATGTTGACAGCATAAAATGAAAAATTTCAGATACTATGTTGCGTCTGTAGAACTCTTTGCCAGTGCCTGTTCAAAGAAAAAGGAAAAAAAGAAATCTTTGTCAGCATCAACGAAGTACCTTTCATTCTGTTAACTTCCTTGCCATCCAGGATAGTCTCACTCTCACCAGTAGATATCGCACAACCATAATGCAGAAAAGTTCATGACTTGATCGTTAAGAACCAGTTTTCTTGTTCATATGTAGAGGGCTACTAAGGTCTTGCATGTCACCGAAAAGCCAACTGATGAGAAAACAAACAGAAGACAATGACCGATCTTCTTTTATCATCTAGTACCCCCTCGTCGTCACTTTATTCAATATCCTATATGTTAAGAACAGTGGGGTTAGGAAGAATACAGGCTTTGTTTCGGTATTCTGATTTCATGCATTTAATTTGTATTTTGAAGGGGAGCCTTGGAGCAACGGTAAAGTTGTCTCCGTGTGACCTTTAGGTCACGGGTTCGAGCCGTGGAATCAGCCACTGATGTTTAGGGTAGGCTGTCTACATTACACCCCATTGTGGTGCGGCCCTTCCCCGGACCCTGCGTAAATACGGGATGCTTCATGCACCGGGCTGCCCTTTAATTTGTATTTTATTTTGAATCTCTATTATTAGCAAACTGTCATTCCATAATCTTCCCTACTAATATGTGATTCAATCCCTGTCCTTTCTACAGCCTCGTGACTGTGCACGTGATACTAGCACCTTATCAAGAGGGTCATGTCCTCAGTATGTCAGCTTGCCAGCCCAAGGATCATGGGGTAAGTTCTCTTTTTGTTAGCCATTCTTACCATTGTTCCAAGTACCATACATAAGAAAAATATGACATGGTAAATGATGTACGTACTGAGTTAAGTGCAGCGGATAATGGATTAGCTCCCTCCTCTCTGATTGCCCTATGTTGGAATAGGGTCAGTGAATACACCTAGGCATTAATGGCATAGTTCATTTTCATGTGAAACAGTGGCCCTCATTTTGTTTTGAAATAAGAACATGCCCAATAGTAGGATGCCTCTTTCCTGTAAATATTTTTATGCATACTTTTTGGTTGGTTGGCACAATAAACAATTTTTTAAAATGGAATATATTCAAAAATATATTCAAAAATTGTGTTGCATTACTAGTTACATGAAGTGAAGCAGTTGTAAGCAACTTTTATATACAAGGAGCAATGAAATGCCTGTACTTGTGAAATTTCAATTCTTTCATAAATCATACACGAGTGCGCGGATGATGAATTAATCTGTCTTCGACTAACCAGGCCTATAAACATTTTTTATGACAGTGAACCAAACAAAGAAAAGGAAAATTGTGAAAATTGACCCCTTAACATACTCTAGAAATCAACTCAAATTTAGAAAATTATTTGTCTCCTTACACATCTGCGCATGTATTTGGTGGGTATTTGCAGATTCTTTACTTGTGATATCTCAGATCAATAGGAGACACTATCATTAAATTAGTAAATAAACGTAACACATTAATTTCTTGTTTCATCTCATTTGTTTCCTTTTTGGCTTTTGATCGCATAATTCATTTTCATGTCAGTTTTGAGCTCTCCGAGAAGGTTTTCTCTTGCAACTTAGGGAGATAATAAGCATTCTGCTTGGATCAGCTTAAAGCTTTGGTTTCCCGTCTACTTGCTACTAATTTGTCTCTACTCTCTCCATAAAGTAGCTGAACATGCTTACTTGCTTTCACAAAAGCTCAACTAAAGAATATTTCAGGATAATTGGCTTACATTAGTGCAGTTCTTAGTGTTTCCACCATGAGACTGAATGACCCGGACCAGGCAAGGAATGTGAAAGTTGGTGTGCCACACCTGTTTGCACTTTGGACAAATGTTTAGATATATATATATATATATATATATATGTAATACTGTCTGTCCTGTGGCTTTTTATGTATCCACTATCCATTGTCATAGTGCATTCTCAGTCTTCCTTTTTGTTCATTCGCTAGGTCGGAGTAGCTATAGAGATAATTACCTGCCATGATAGGGACATAGTGGAGCCTCATTGTGATAAGTTTTTTGTTTTACAGAGATTAGAAGCAGCAATACAACAGCAGCTTCTTAGTCTACAGAATAGTCTCTGGTTGGTTCAGCTAATTTGACAAGGATTCCAAATGACCTTGGTTTGTTACTCTGCGGTGAAGCTTAGTGACAATACAAGTTTCTGCTTGGGATAGATTAATACTTTAAAACATGCAATTGTACAAGTGGATGAATAATATTTGCTTGTTAACTTTCCAGTCTATAATCAATGTAACTTTAAGCAGATTAATATGTTCCCTTTTATGCTATTCCAGTTTACTAAAATAACTTTTCTACATGGTTTATCTTTGCTTTTGCATAAATATAAAGAACAGTTTGTGGAATTTTGCTAATTTCAGTATTTACCAATTATACCACTAAGTGTTAGTCCATTGGTTCCCTTCTAGGAAAGTGAGTTTGGGGTGTTTAGAGTACCTTGAAGCTATGGTCATTTCAATTTTTCATACAAACCAACGGTCATTTCATGTCAATTCACTGCCCAAGCATGTAATAGGGCAGGCTGGAGGTGATGTTTCAGTTCAGAAGCAAACAAAGCACGAGCTACGAGTCACCAAACGGTGCGGTGCGGTTGCGGGGAATAAATCCTCAAAATTTTTAACCCGTCCCACCCCGCATAGCATTTGTATCCTCATTCACCCGCTCCACACCAATACCCGTGGGCCGTGTCCACCTGCCCTGCCCCGCATAATTTATTTTTCTTTTCATTTTGCTAGTTTTTTTTTATTAATCTTTTTGCTGGATTTTTAATTTCATCAACCAAAAAATTGAATGTTCTTTTGTTGCTCATGTACTGAATTGTTCAACTAGAATTGAGGATTCCCTCATCCAGTATGAAAATGAGCGAGTCAGAATGAGAATGCTAAAAATGACAAAAAGACCATAACGCTATGCCGATGATATTGGAATTTGGAAACAAATATGGGAACAAGTGACTTCAAACTTCTATAATTCTGGTTGGTTGCTACTATGTTGTATGCTTTCAGTATAAATTTAGGATTAGTTGTATAATTTTTCTAGTGACAAAAATTAAAATAGTGATTTTTGTGTTACAGACCTTCACTAAGTGATTTTTAAGTGGCAAAATGTTAATAATCTTATTCATAAAAATATTTGTCAACTATATTTTATATCTCTTTAAACGTCTAACTTTTTTTTTTTTTTAATTTCTTTCAAAATATCTACCTTAATTAACATTTCACTAAATGGTTAATTTGAAAAAAGAAGCTATAAATGATTTATTTTTGTTTTTATGAATATCAAAATATAAACAGATATTATGGTCATTAAGGTTTGTCACAGACCTTGCTCATGTCTTACTGGATAATTTTTAGAATAATACAATAGGCCAAAACCAGAAAACTTGTGTAACCGCGTAAACCCGCATACACCCGCAATCCGCCCCGCACCGCATCAATCTTTTAAAAGATTATCTCAACTCACCCTGCACCCACCCCTCACCTCATAGCTTTAAACCCGCACCGCCCTACATAGCCTTAAACATGCCTCGCACCGCCACGCTTGCCATCCCTACCTTAGAGGTTGCAATGAAACATCTCAAATAAACATCCATCTGTGTTTGCGCTTTGCTTTATGAGGACGAGGTTATATTCATGGGAGAGGTAAAGCATTGCAAACAATGTTAATTTCGTTTAACTAATGTTGTGACTATGCTTCTCGGGAGCCAATGGTGTATTGAAAACAGTTTCTCTATCTTCACAAAGTAGGGGTGAGGTTGTGTACATAGTGACCTTTTCAAAATCCTGCTATTTGTGGGATTAGACTGGGTTTGTTTTGTTCTTGTTGTTAATTTCATTTAAGTCCGTAGTCCAAATCCATGGCAGGACTCTATGTTTGATGTTCTGTCTATGTAACGATCCGATCGGTCGTTTTGATTTCTAGCGCTCCGTTTTGCGATTTGAGAATTCGAATATGTTCTTTTGAACAAGTTTTACGACTTGCGCGTGTAGTTGGTTTTGATTTCCTAGAGGTTCCGGAGTGTTTTGGAAGAAGAGTTCTCATTTTGGAAGTTTTAAGTTGTTGGAGTTGACCAATATTTAACTTGTGAGTAAAAGACCCCTGATTGATGATTTGATGATATCGTTGCTTCCTCTAATAATTTTGGACTTGTACGTATGTTTGGTTTGGGTCTCGAGTGACCCGAGGTCATTTCGGCGCGTCTAGTCGAAAGTTAGTTTGAACTTTAGAACTTTTGAAATTCTTGGTTTACTTCTTGATTCCTTGTTTTAAAGTTATTTTTGGTGTTTTGAGCCTTTGAGCAAGTTCATGTTAGCTATATAGACTTGTTGGGATAATTAGACGGGGGCTCAGATGAGTTTCGGGATGATTTTGGCTATTTTTGTTCATGTTTCAGTTGCTGGTTTCTAGTGTGATTTTAGTGCTTCGCGAATGAGGAGCTAGTCTCGAACGCGAAGCTTGGGGGAGTAGCGTACACGAATGCGAGGACAGCGTCGTGAATTCGATGGTCACTGATCATTGGCCTTCATGACCGCAAAGAGGAATTTCGCCCAAGGATATTTTTAAACTAGAAATCGGGATTAGACCATTTTAACCATTTTTAAAATCTAGAGCTCGGGTTAGGCAATATTGAGAGAGATTTTCACCTCAACTTCTAAGGTTAATATTTTTGGATTAGTATTGATTATATATCATGATTCCTCATAGATGTTTGCCCCTAAATTTTGGATTTTATAGTGTAAAAATTAAATTTTTGGGTTTGAACTTAAGAGAGCTAATTTTGGGAATTTAGACCTTAATTTGAGGTCGGATCTTGAAACTAATTATATATTTGAACTTGTGAGATTATGGGTCATCGAGATTTGATCTTGATTTTAAATTTTTACCATGTGGGCCCGGGTTTATTTTTTGTTGACTTTGAAATTTCATCAAAGATTGAACCTTTATTGATTGAGGATGTTTTCTTTAGCAATATTTGACTTCCTTAAATGATATTTGACTAGGTTTTATTCGTTTTAAGGAGTATTTCTAAGGAAAGTGGTATTAGGTTGTTGAACTTGTTCTGGTATGAGGTAAGTATCTTACCTGACATTGGTTTGACATAATTTTCTTAATAAATGATATTGTTTGCTACATACAGGTTGATGTATATGCGAGGTGACATGCATATATGCATGTGTGAGGGTTATCCATATTCAGGGTAGATTATATGCTTCTTTGTGCCTTGTTGAACTTTCTGATCTTTTTGACTTATGTTTGGTTTGTTTCTACGACTAAATGATTATAATTATCCATGCTAGAAATTATTAATAAACATGTGACATCTTAAATGAAATGATGGGCTATTCTCGAAGTTGTGATATACTGGATTTGATCGCAATCATGTTTATATTACGAACACATATCTATACATGTCATACTTGTGTTACTTGAGCCTTCTTAATCATGTTAAAGATCATGTGATACTTGGATAAGAAGGCTTTTGAAATGCTTGTTTCTACGATAGCTATGATTATTTCCCAAGAATAGTATTAGGCTTACTTATCCCTCTCGATTGTTGTATACATCCTACCTTGCTTGTACCGATATATATATATATATATATGCTTGGCAAGGATAAGTAAATTGCACGAAGGGTATTTCCGTGCAGTGAGGATGAGTGATATATGCACAAAGGGTGTTTACGTGCAATTTGATATGATATTGGCACGAAGGGTGTTTATGTTCAAGTGAGAACGAGTGTTCATGGCAGGAAGGGTATNATATATATATATATATATATATGCATATGTATTCTGCCTTGATTGTTAGTGTTACTCATGCATATCTTACCTTGTTATTACTGTTACTTACATGCCACTTACATGCCACCTGCTTGGTTTGTTGTTACTTAGGTACAGCATGTCTTGTCTGTTACTATTACTTATGTGCATTTTATCTTGTCTGTCACTGTTGCCCATATGCCTCCTACCTTATTTGCTATTGTATATTTTATCTCTTCTATCTTGTTTGTTACTTTTTACGCTCAAATTATACCTATATAAATGGTGTTCTCACGACCCCATTTTTTCCTCCATAAGATGTCGTGATGGCACCTAGTCTCTGAGACTAGGTAAGCCTAATAATTTGCGAAATAACTGAATATAAAACTGAACTCAAATCTCAATACATGAAATATAAATAGAAACTGCGATTCAAATAACTTACAACTCCCAAAATCCGGTAGAAATAAGTCACAAGCTTCTAAGAGAAAAATACTAAGTGTCTCTATACATCAGAGTCTAAAGAGAATAAGAAAAATAACATAATAAGGATAAAGGGGGACTCCGAGGTCTGCGGACGCTGGCAGATATACCTTGAAGTATCCACGTACGGTCCAACTCACTGGTATCTGGTCTAGTAGGAAGAACCTAGATCTGTACAAAAAGACGTGCAGAAGTGTAGTATGAGTATACCACAACGGTACCCAGTAAATGGCAAGCCTAACCTCGGTAGAGTAGTGGCGAGGTCAGGTCGGGGCTCTACTGGAATAAAAGGAAATGAAGCAGAAAATATAATAATACATTGAAATGACTGAGAAATGAACAACAAGAAATTTCAGAAAGGTAACAGCACAACAAATAGAGGTAAACAACAGGGGCGCTCCCGAGTTACTGCCTCGTAGTCCCAAATATAAAATACACAACAGAGATCTCTCTCGAGGTACCGCCTCGTAGTCCCAAAAGTAAATATGCAATAGGGGATCTCCCGAGGTATCGCGTCATAGTCCCAAAAGTAAATATGCAACAGGGGGATCTCCCGAGGTACTGCCTCGTAGTCCCAAAAGTAAACACACAACTCATAACTCATGGAACAACGAGTTTACAGTAAGGAATCATGTAGTTAAATACTGAATACAAGATCAAGGAGGCAAGTAATATAATTAAACATGTTGCACAAATTTCAAGTAAAAGTTAAGACACGTAGACATGCGATACTAGGCTAAACATGAAAGCTACACATGCTAAGGCAACTCAGTTAAGGAATTTAAAAGAAGACTACTCAACAAGAACCGAAATTTCCACATTTAGCCCGTGTACGCACTCGTCACCTCCCGTATACGACGCTCACATATCACAAATTATTACAATAGTACCAAAATCCTAAGGAGATTCTCCCCCTCCCCCCCCCAACAAGGTTAGTCAAGTCACTTACCTCAAATATTTCTTAATCAATAGATAAGAATGCCTTTACCTCGACTTTCCAACTCCGAACGGCCCAAATCTAGTCAAAAGCAATTACATACCATGAATACAACTACAAGAAACTA